GAATATATATTACTTAGTATTGGTACAGTTAAGCCATGTTTCCTGGTCATTAATACTATGTCTCATAATCCAAGATTAATGCAAAAGTGTTGAGCATTGTCATTATCACTGCCTCGTTACCTATCTTGAATATTCAATAAACTAAACAGAGCGCTATTTGTGAACGCTATTAGAAATGGTTAATATTTGACCATTTTCATTGTCATCGTAAGGGGATGTGCATTGCATTTCGTGGGAATACTCGTAATTCTGAAGATCAAATCTTGATACACCTGATCTTCAACTGGATAACTGCTGCTACTGCTCAGCCTTCATTTTGGAGGATGCAGAAGCTAGCTATTGCCTAGTCTTCCATATTAGGAAGAGTTTATACAGGGTTTCTTGATCAATATTCTGACAGTAAACAGTCATTCGAAGGATTGGGGAGGAACTTTATGACATTAAAGATATACGAAATTTTTGCAACTTTATTAGTTTGCATTCATGTATGTCGATTCCGTCATTAGAATAATTACTAAAACTAACATGTGTATTATACTTTTATTCAGGGTTGCATATTCAATAGCTTTTTCAAAAAAGAAAAAAATTTAAGAATGATGAAGAATAATTTGGTATTTTAAAATATTTCTTAAAATAATGAATGGTGTATTTTGGAGGGGATGGAAAAAAAAACAGTGATTTCGAGTAATCCTAACAAAAAATTTTTATATTTCAGTGTGCTATCGATAATAATGAGCAAATTTTGCAATTACTTCTAAGGCACGGAGCTGATGTGAACGCGCAGGATACAGAGCAGTGGACACCATTGCACGCAGCGGCTTGTTGTGCTTATATCGATGTTGTTCGTCTTCTTATTGATAAGTCAGTAATGTTTTGCTCGAGTATTGTTCATTTGAGCTATTTTTTTTTCCATCTCACACGTATTCGGCTGCAAACTTAAACTCGTGTCTTAGCGAAATGTAAGATTAGTAAGTTCAATTCTTTGTTGATTGATAAAATGGATGGAATCTTTTCATACATATGTTTTTCTCCGTATTATAATAAGTATTTATTTCTTGTTTATTTTTTCTTATTTTTTTGGTAATTGTAATTGTTTTCCGCACACACATGAAATACCCTATTTCTCTCAGGTTTTGCCCCAAATCAACTTCAGTAGCTTTG